TTCTCGTGCTATATACTTGTCATTGCTGATCATACATGCTCATGTCTATATACTTGTCAATACTGATCATACTTTCTTGTGTCTATATAATTGTCATTGCTGATCATACAGTCTCATGTCAATATACTTGTCATGGCTGATCATACATTCTCGTGCTATATACTTGTCATTGCTGATCATACATTCTCGTGTCTATATACTTGTCACTGCTGATCATACATGCTCATGTATATACTTGTCAATGCTGATCATACTTTCTCGTGTCTATATGCTTGTCATTGCTGATCATACATGCTCATGTCTATATAATTGTCAATGCTGATCATACATTCTCATGTCTATATACTTGTCATTGCTGATCAATTATTCTCGTGTCTATATACTTGTCACTGCTGATCATACATTCTCGTGTCTATATAATTGTCATTGCTGATCATACATGCTCATGTCTTGTCAATGCTGATCATACATTCTCGTGTCTATATACTTGTCACTGCTGATCATACATTCTCGCGTCTATATAATTGTCATTGCTGATCATACATGCTCATGTCTATATACTTGTCATTGCTGATCATACTTTCTTGTGCCTATCTAATTGTCATTGCTGATCATATAGTCTCATGTCTATATACTTGTCATTGCTGATCATACATTCTCGTGCTTTACACTTGTCATTGCTGATCATACATTTTCATGTCGATATACTTGTCAATGCTGATCATACTTTCTCGTGTCTTTATACTTGTCATTGCTGATCATACATTATCATGTCTATATACTTGTCATTGCTGATCATACATTCTCGTGTCTATATACTTGTCATTGCTGATCATACATTCTCGTGCTATAAACTTGTCATTGCTGATCATACATTATCATGTCTATATACTTGTCATTGCTGATCATACTTTCTTGTGTCTATATAATTGTCATTGCTGATCATACTTTCTCGTGCTATATACTTGTCATTGCTGATCATACTTTCTCGGGCTATATTCTTGTCATTGCTGATCATACATGCTCATGTCTATATACTTGTCATTGCTGATCATACATGCTCAGGTATATATAATTGTCATTGCTGATCATACATTTTCATGCTATATACTTGTCATTGCTGATCATACATTTTCATGCTATATACTTGTCATTGCTGATCATACATTTTCATGCTATATACTTGTCATTGCTGATCATACATTTTCATGCTATATACTTGTCATTGCTGATCATACATTTTCATGCTATATACTTGTCATTGCTGATCATACATTTTCATGCTATATACTTGTCATTGCTGATCATACATTTTCATGCTATATACTTGTCATTGCTGATCATACATTTTCATGCTATATACTTGTCATTGCTGATCATACATTTTCATGCTATATACTTGTCATTGCTGATCATACATTTTCATGCTATATACTTGTCATTGCTGATCATACATTTTCATGCTATATACTTGTCATTGCTGATCATACATTTTCATGCTATATACTTGTCATTGCTGATCATACATTTTCATGCTATATACTTGTCATTGCTGATCATACATTTTCATGCTATATACTTGTCATTGCTGATCATACATTTTCATGCTATATACTTGTCATTGCTGATCATACATTTTCATGCTATATACTTGTCATTGCTGATCATACATTTTCATGCTATATACTTGTCATTGCTGATCATACATTTTCATGCTATATACTTGTCATTGCTGATCATACATTTTCATGCTATATACTTGTCATTGCTGATCATACATTTTCATGCTATATACTTGTCATTGCTGATCATACATTTTCATGCTATATACTTGTCATTGCTGATCATACATTTTCATGCTATATACTTGTCATTGCTGATCATACATTTTCATGCTATATACTTGTCATTGCTGATCATACATTTTCATGCTATATACTTGTCATTGCTGATCATACATTTTCATGCTATATACTTGTCATTGCTGATCATACATTTTCATGCTATATACTTGTCATTGCTGATCATACATTTTCATGCTATATACTTGTCATTGCTGATCATACATTTTCATGCTATATACTTGTCATTGCTGATCATACATTTTCATGCTATATACTTGTCATTGCTGATCATACATTTTCATGCTATATACTTGTCATTGCTGATCATACATTTTCATGCTATATACTTGTCATTGCTGATCATACATTTTCATGCTATATACTTGTCATTGCTGATCATACATTTTCATGCTATATACTTGTCATTGCTGATCATACATTTTCATGCTATATACTTGTCATTGCTGATCATACATTTTCATGCTATATACTTGTCATTGCTGATCATACATTTTCATGCTATATACTTGTCATTGCTGATCATACATTTTCATGCTATATACTTGTCATTGCTGATCATACATTTTCATGCTATATACTTGTCATTGCTGATCATACATTTTCATGCTATATACTTGTCATTGCTGATCATACATTTTCATGCTATATACTTGTCATTGCTGATCATACATTTTCATGCTATATACTTGTCATTGCTGATCATACATTTTCATGCTATATACTTGTCATTGCTGATCATACATTTTCATGCTATATACTTGTCATTGCTGATCATACATTTTCATGCTATATACTTGTCATTGCTGATCATACATTTTCATGCTATATACTTGTCATTGCTGATCATACATTTTCATGCTATATACTTGTCATTGCTGATCATACATTTTCATGCTATATACTTGTCATTGCTGATCATACATTTTCATGCTATATACTTGTCATTGCTGATCATACATTTTCATGCTATATACTTGTCATTGCTGATCATACGTTTTCATGCTATATACTTGTCATTGCTGATCATACATTTTCATGCTATATACTTGTCATTGCTGATCATACATTTTCATGCTATATACTTGTCATTGCTGATCATACATTTTCATGCTATATACTTGTCATTGCTGATCATACATTTTCATGCTATATACTTGTCATTGCTGATCATACATTTTCATGCTATATACTTGTCATTGCTGATCATACATTTTCATGCTATATACTTGTCATTGCTGATCATACATTTTCATGCTATATACTTGTCATTGCTGATCATACATTTTCATGCTATATACTTGTCATTGCTGATCATACATTTTCATGCTATATACTTGTCATTGCTGATCATACATTTTCATGCTATATACTTGTCATTGCTGATCATACATTTTCATGCTATATACTTGTCATTGCTGATCATACATTTTCATGCTATATACTTGTCATTGCTGATCATACATTTTCATGCTATATACTTGTCATTGCTGATCATACATTTTCATGCTATATACTTGTCATTGCTGATCATACATTTTCATGCTATATACTTGTCATTGCTGATCATACATTTTCATGCTATATACTTGTCATTGCTGATCATACATTTTCATGCTATATACTTGTCATTGCTGATCATACATTTTCATGCTATATACTTGTCATTGCTGATCATACATTTTCATGCTATATACTTGTCATTGCTGATCATACATTTTCATGCTATATACTTGTCATTGCTGATCATACATTTTCATGCTATATACTTGTCATTGCTGATCATACATTTTCATGCTATATACTTGTCATTGCTGATCATACATTTTCATGCTATATACTTGTCATTGCTGATCATACATTTTCATGCTATATACTTGTCATTGCTGATCATACATTTTCATGCTATATACTTGTCATTGCTGATCATACATTTTCATGCTATATACTTGTCATTGCTGATCATACATTTTCATGCTATATACTTGTCATTGCTGATCATACATTTTCATGCTATATACTTGTCATTGCTGATCATACATTTTCATGCTATATACTTGTCATTGCTGATCATACATTTTCATGCTATATACTTGTCATTGCTGATCATACATTTTCATGCTATATACTTGTCATTGCTGATCATACATTTTCATGCTATATACTTGTCATTGCTGATCATACATTTTCATGCTATATACTTGTCATTGCTGATCATACATTTTCATGCTATATACTTGTCATTGCTGATCATACATTTTCATGCTATATACTTGTCATTGCTGATCATACATTTTCATGCTATATACTTGTCATTGCTGATCATACATTTTCATGCTATATACTTGTCATTGCTGATCATACATTTTCATGCTATATACTTGTCATTGCTGATCATACATTTTCATGCTATATACTTGTCATTGCTGATCATACATTTTCATGCTATATACTTGTCATTGCTGATCATACATTTTCATGCTATATACTTGTCATTGCTGATCATACATTCTCGTGCTATATACTTGTCATTGCTGATCATACATTTTCATGCTATATACTTGTCATTGCTGATCATACATTTTCATGCTATATACTTGTCATTGCTGATCATACTTTCTCGTGCTATATACTTGTCATTGCTGATCATACATTTTCATGCTATATACTTGTCATTGCTGATCATACATTTTCATGCTATATACTTGTCATTGCTGATCATACTTTCTCGTGCTATATACTTGTCATTGCTGATCATACATTTTCATGCTATATACTTGTCATTGCTGATCATACATTTTCATGCTATATACTTGTCATTGCTGATCATACTTTCTCGTGCTATATACTTGTCATTGCTGATCATACATTTTCATGCTATATACTTGTCATTGCTGATCATACATTCTCATGTCTATATACGTGTCATTGCTTAACACGATTAATAAAATCTATTTGTCGGTCGGAGTGCTTTTTATTTATTGCCTACAATCGAATTGCGAAATATCATAATCTATTTATTTGATTTTCTTTTTCTTTTACAGTATCTGCAAACAAGGACGGACGGACAGACAACAACATGCAAGAGATATCATCCAGGAAGTGTCCATCAGAGCCTCGTTTTTGCCGAATACTTACGATATATTTGGTGTTTTAATATAGTAAGAAAGGGTCTGGAATAACGGTCCGGTCGGTGGATACGGAAAACGGATACCGTCCGGAATGTCGGGAGATGTGAACTTCATCACAAGGTCATCACATCCTCCACTAGAAGATATCACGCTCACAGCAAACTACAGAAACAGATACAGCACCATGAGGTAAAAAGACAACAAAAATTATAGTTACCGACAATTTCATTTGACCGTACAGCAGACGAGAGGTGTTTACATGTCACAGTTGATTCCTACCCTCGGTGTTAACATGTCACAGTTGATTCCTACCCTCGGTGTTGACATGTCACAGTTGATTCCTACCCTCGGTGTTCACATGTCACAGTTGATTCCTACCCCGGTGTTCACATGTCACCGTTGATTCCTACCCCCGGTTTTCACATGTCACAGTTGATTCCTACCCCCGGTGTTCACATGTCACAGTTGATTACTACCCCCGGTGTTTACATGTCACAGTTGATTCCTACCCTCGGTGTTCACATGTCATAGTTGATTACTACCCCCGGTGTTCACATGTCACAGTTGATTACTACCCTCGGTGTTTATATGTCACAGTTGATTCCTACCCTCGGTGTTTACATGTCACAGTTGATTCCTACCCCGGTGTTCATATGTCACAGGTGATTCCTACCCTCGGTGTTCACATGTCACAGTTGATTCCTACCCCGGTGGTCATATGTCACAGTTGATTCCTACCCTCGGGGTTCACATGTCATAGTTGATTACTACCCCAGGTGTTCACATGTCACAGTTGATTACTACCCCCGGTGTTTACATGTCACAGTTGATTCCTCCCCCGGTGTTCCCATGTCACAGTTGATTTCTACCCTCGGTGTTTACATGTCGCAGTTGATTTCTACCCTCGGTGTTTACATGTCACAGTTGATTCCTACCTCGGTGTTTACATGTCACAGTTGATTCCTACCCCGGTGTTCATATGTCACAGTTGATTCCTACCCTCGGTGTTCACATGTCACAGTTGATTCCTACCTCGGTGTTTACATGTCACAGTTGATTCCTTCCCTCGGTGTTTACATGTCACCGTTGATTTCTACCCTCGGTGTTTACATGTCACAGTTGATTCCTACTCTCGGTGTTCACATGTCACAGTTGATTACTACCCCCGGTGTTCACATGTCACAGTTGATTCCTACCCCGGTGTTCACATGTCACAGTTGATTCCTACCCTCGGTGTTTATATGTCACAGTTGATTCCTACCCTCGGTGTTCACATGTCACTGTTGATTCCTACCCTCGGTGTGTATATGTCACAGTTGATTCCTACCCTCGGTGTTTACATGTCACAGTTGATTCCTACCCTCGTTGTTCACATGTCACAGTTGATTCCTACCCTCGGTGTTTACATGTCACAGTTGATTCCTACCCCCGGTGTTAACATGTCACAGTTGATTTCTACCCTCGGTGTTCATTTGTCACAGTTGATTTCTACCCTCGGTGTTCATATGTCACAGTTGATTCCTACCCCCGGTGTTCACATGTCACAGTTGATTCCTACCCCCGGTGATCACATGTCACAGTTGATTCCGTTCTCAGGAGTTTGCTCTGATTATCCTGACGGACAAGCTTACAACACAGGGTTTCCAAAGATGCAGGTTGATGAAGGTTAGGTACACGTTGTATGGTTGCCATTCTTTATGTTATATAAAGGTCAATGTTGTTCTATTATGTTAATAAGAGTACTTTGTGGTTTTGTTGTCACTACCCGAGTTATCGATGCGATGACGTGACATCACTTGGTTTCGACTTAGATGTACATGGGGAATGTCACTGATGAAGATAAAGACGCTTACCCTTCCGGAACATCTGGTCTTATTCTCCTTGTAGCTTTTCAATGGTCTCAATGTAAATCTTTCCTTTCTTCAAGTTTTGCGATAAATTTATCGATTTTGAGTCCAAAATGTGGTTTAGATAACTCTTTGGTATTCCCTTGATGTTTTTTTTAAATACTAGAACTTTGCACACTGTTAACACTTTGTGACCATAAGATACAGTTTAGTTCCAACCATTGATAAAGCAACGGTCAGACAAACCAACTGATGATGATCTTCAGTGTTGAAGGTTTGATGTTTAGTTACTAGGTGCATTCAACAGAGATATGAACGACATGGATAACGTTCAGATGTGGCCCGGAAAAAGTTTGTCGACACAGCGTATTAATGTTTCCGTCTTAAGATGACTCACATGTGCTCGATATGTGTGACCAATGGGAATACAGTCACTCGTTAAGACTTCATGAAAACTGTGCGCGCACAGAANTGGGGGGGTAACTCCTGGACTTTCGAGGATACGTCGATGGGGACGTCAATGTATCATGTGATTTCGGATATATGTGATCTTGTTCATACTCACTTGGAGAGGTATTTTACTGATGCACTGGCGGGGGTTCCTGATCTCACTTCCGACACTGACGGTGTAATCGGGGAAGTCTTCGACCATGACGGTGACACGGTAGAGCGTGTTGGGTGTGTATCCGTTAGCCGTGGTCGTGTGTAAGGTTAATGTGCAGTTTTCCTGTAGTCGTCAAAAACTCAACTTATTTCCTTTTTCTTATTTTCTTTCCTTCTTTATAAAAAACCTTGAGATATATTAAAAGGGTAAAAAATAATACCTTTTTTTTCTCTGTCATTTATCTCCTTTCATTTGGCATAAACTCTTTAGAGCACATTGCATATATTTGAAATGTATTTATGTTCATTGAATCAAACACTGATGAATCTAAAAATGAAGTCTATGGATTCTAGAACAATGAAATAATGAAAACAGTGGAACAAAACATATCCCCACCCAAAGTAACAGCATTGGGTAATTCCCGATTCATTAAATGACTACCGAGGAAATGGTTGATACTCTACCTCGTTCATAAGAAATTGAGGCAAATCAGTACAGGCGCCTGCGCATTCGACGACTTTAGCCAAACGACATCTTATGGTATCTGCATCCGGGTCTTCTACCGGTAAGCTGATGACGTTTTTACAACCAAAAGGAATTCTGGAAAAAATAACGGTACGTTGTAACAAACTTATTTCAACGAAACATTTTAGGTTAGGCTGGATTACCTGCCTTGTTTTTGGCTCTACGCTAGGTTTGCTACGAAATACAAAAATACTTCGTGTTTATCAATCTTTTCGTTTTGTATTGACATTTCCAAGAGGTGGACTGGTGAGTCAAAAGTTTACTGCTATCTAGTTTACTTTGTGTCTGCCACTTCTCAAAAACTACTTTGGAAGCGTAGAAATCAGTTTTATACCCAGGTTATTGAATATTGATTGTTCAAATCGAGGATGACATTTTAAGCAGGATAAAGTTAAAATAAATTTAAAACCATGCTGCATGCTCCACTTGTATGCCTTATCGAGTTTATCGAGGGGGTCCTTAACCAGAGCTGTTGATAGGACGTTAAACAATACTAAACCATAGAGAGGGGTTTCCCTGTGTATGTACATGTAACATGTTCTTCACATAGAACTGTATTCTAGGTACGTACTTACCCAACAGTGGGCGGGACAGCCGCAATAGGGCTGGCGTTGGAGACGTTTGTATCATTCCGAACACCAAGCTGAACGGACGCCACCATGCGGCCATAACCGGTGACATTTGGCCAAGGAAGATCATCAATTCTGCAAGTACAGTGAGTAGGACAATAATGGAAATGAGTTGCGCCAGAAGAGTAAAACATTTCGTACTCTCAATATAAAAATGACGGTGTGATTGCAATGCCTTTGCTGTTTTATGACCGTACGGTATAGCACCCTTGCAGGCTGGGGATTGAGAAAAGAATCTACCCGCTGTTACCAACAGCATGTTGAAAAAGGCAACTAATGCGGGAATCCCTACAGAGTTGGGGATTCACGTTTGTGCTTTCTAATAGGAGACAAAATGCGATCAAAACAACACTTCTGTACCTACTGCAATATTTGGGATTTTCATTCTTCCCAACAAGCTTGTTTTGTTTCCAAACGCCTTATTGACAATACGTCAGTTTTGGCTTATGAACTTTCGCTAAGTGGGGGAGGCAACAGGATCTGTACCCAGGCCGGCACATACTAAAGTCCTTAAAATGGCAGTTATTCCTGCCAAAGGTTCAGCATGTGGTGTGAACGTAACTACTGGGTGTCTTCGTTATTTCATTGGGATGACACACAGCAGTAGGCATTAGATCATCGCAATCGTAAGGACCAACAAACCGCCTTCAGCACACATACCAAACTTAAATGCTGACACTGCACACACGACCATAGATGTTAATATGATATAGAGGCGGAGTTTGAGGAGTTTCTACTGGATGTACTCAAATAAAACCTCACCCACTAGATCAGGATAGCTCAGGCCATAGACAGAAATTTGAGAAAATATTTGTCTTTTTCCACTGCCCAATAGAGCTCCGTTACAGATGATCTTTTTACAGAAAAGATTTATCCCAATATAGTTATTTAGATTTTTCCACTTATCCACTTAAAATACATCTTAAATGTGAGGTAAAGGGAATTCATAGAAAAAATCAAAATAATCGTAGAGAGAAAATCAATAACTGAAGTTGTTTTTGTAAACACGGCGTGGAAGAAACTGCGAGAGACGAGTCAAAATGGTGGTTGGGGTCACTCTCATAAATAAATAAAATAAATAAATCTAGCTAGAATAAGCCACTCTAAAGCGCTTTACAGTACAAAGATATTCCATTTTATACAATCAATACAATTAGCATATACAATACAATATTGAGGAATTCGCAGGCGCTAACTATTACTCCTATGCCACCTGGCTTATATCTCTCTATATTTGTATGCCTGCGTGTGTGCTGGAGATGTATTGTGTTCTGTTTGTAGTGGGACCGTGCTTTTAACGGTATAATTTGTATGGGCAGGAGAAAAACAATTTCTTCCATGCGTACGCCGACTTCGGGGATCGAACTTCGGCCGCCTGCGTGGAAGGCCTAAGTGTTAACCACTCGACCAATCTGCCTATTTCATTCGACCAGATAGTAAACGGAGGTGGAAGATAGAAAGTGTGGGATAATGTGAAAGCTACTGGATAGTATGAGAAAAGAATGAAAAGGAAGGTAGAAAGAGAGACGGAGAGAAGAAAAAGGAAAGAAGTTTTGTTATCGTGTTAAATCATGGATTATCGACGGTCAAAGTATCTTTTGAGCACGACAGTTCGTTAAAAATGAAATGTAGTAGATATTAAGGCTAATTCAAAAATATCTGTAATAAGAAAATTAATAAAGGGAGGTTTAAGATAGCATATAACCTTAAACGAAGTTGTTGTCATCTAATAGCAGTGCATGTATATGGCGAACGGATGTTTGATGTGCGTACGGTATAATCGTATATCACACTAAATGGGGTGGACAAGAATGACCCATACTGATGTATACCCTACACGGTGTGACCTATGTCCTTATTTCATGCTCTTATCACAACCAGAGAGTGATTTATTAAAATACTCCATCAAAGGACGGTCATCTTTATTAACTCGGCGGGATTTACACTTTCACAATCATTTACTCTCGTCTATTGTGTCCACTAGCTGACCACACCGGGACAACCCCGGTAATACGAGAATAAACTGGACAAATTGACTCTATGAAGAAGCCAGTAGCCATCGAACTGATACTCGTACAACGCATATAATAAACGTATTTCATGATATTATCTTTAAATGACATGTTATCATTATTTCTTTTTAATTGGTAAAAGAAAATAATGAAAAAACACACAAACAAAAAGAATATATATATTATCAATGAGTACCATTTCATATACTGTACATTGCATTCCTGTAAATGTTTTATCACTGCTCCTCGTAGTCGGTATACGTCTGACCAGAAAGTCATCTAGTGGTTCAGTGAAAAAATGGTAACAGGATAGAAACTGTTCTCGATTCGGAGAGGAACGTTAGCCTCGAAGGACAAGGCTCGTCATCGGAAGCATCACCGAAAGAAGTACGAGGATAAAACGTGTATACCCTCTAAAAAGCCACCAGATATTGACGGTTTTTTTCTTTGAAAATATGAGTAGCAACCCTAATGCAATTTTGAAAACCCTGAATGTAAAATATTAACATTAAGGTGTCATATTCATCTATCAATGTAAAATTCTATTCATTAAAGTGTAACTAGACGATTTAAAAATAAACTAATGATGACTGTGCAGTACCTTGAAAATTGACACACCAGTCGCTTTCAAAGTGGTAAGTTATTGTACATTCTAAAACAATATACCTTATTTAAAACAACATAGATAACACTAATGGGACAAAATACTCCGCTGGCTGTGATAATGCCATCAAGTTACTAATTCTTATAATTGTATACATGACAGTGACATGAATACTGTCTATGCGCATTGCGTATCTGTCTGACTTCATTCCTGACACACAACTCCTTATCCACAGTAAATCTCATAGTCTGACCCTTATCACATGAACTGTTATGCTTACGTCTAATGGCGCCATTTTGTTGTGACTGAGGAATCACGTGCTCACTGAAGCTAAAGCCAAGAACGTCACGGCTGAGAAGGTACCTCTACCGTTTTCTCGGTATGTTTACAGTCTCTTTTATTAACTTTCAGTTGATGCAAAGCCTGTAACTTTATTAAGCCTTTCTGTAAATCGTAATAAAGTCACAAATATGTGGATTTCACCCAGCGTATACAGCGGCACATGTCCGAGCTGTGTATCATGAAAATTAATAAACAATCAGTGAAACTTTGAGAACCAAGCAGGTAGTTTATTTGAAACGGACTTAAAACGTCGTCATAAATGGTGGCTTGTGGATCAAAATACATTGATTATTTAAAAAAAAAAAAAAAAAAAAAAAATCATGATTTTTTGTTCACACCCGTAAAGAACAAGGAGGACATAAAAAAGGTTTTAAGACGGAGACATATCTATTTTCAGCAAAAAAACAAACAAAATTATAGGCAAACATACTTACGAGATGTTGTATTGCCCAGTCCCTGTCAGATTGTAGAAGAATTGGTCCTCTCCCTGTTCCCAGCCTGGGAAATCGTGACTCACTGACGTCAAAATGTAGTTCACATCGCCCAACAAAGGACTTCCGGGGCAACCGGAAGTGCATTTCCAAGACATGGAATTCAGAGATTGTGGGAGGGGTCTCTTAGACATCAGATCGGCGAGAGAACAAGACGGACCGCATGGTCCTGTTCCCTTCTCCCAGGTCATTCGATATACAAAGCGGATCTGCAGCAGACAAATTCTAACTACAAACGTGGTGTTTTATTGGCGGGAGGTGCACCACAGTGAATATGGTGCATATAACAAGCCCCAAAAATCGCATTACGCATGCTTAAAACATTTTTAAATACCGGTACACACAAATCAAATATTGCATACTTAGCACATTCTTTCTTCCTCATTTTCATTTTTACTCTGCCTTGGAATCGAGAACAGAAAAGACCTACTGTTTCTCACTGTATGAACAGCTGAGGCCAGCTATGTGGGAACTGTTTCTCACTGTATTAACAGCTGAGGCCAGCTATGTGGAAACTGTTTCTCACTGTATGAACAGCTGAGGCCAGCTATGTGGGAACCCCCTGCATAAATGGGGATTTGATTTTGAGCCCTCAACATGGGGACACACAAGTGATCAAAATACTGCAATATTTGGGATCTATGTATTTCTCTCTACTTCTAACTACTTTGCCTTGCTTGACGGCACCTCACTTTTGGCTTCCGTGTTGGGCGTTCATCCAAGGTAAGAAGGCAATGGGTTCTGCCGCATGCCGAGACAGATCAGTATTTGTTATTCCCTGCTCAACGAAATGGCAACAGCTGGTTCACCTGTTGTCAGTATAATGTGATGGGCGGAATGCCATGCTTGGTGTCTTCGGTATAGTATTTCAGTGAGACATCATTTCTGCGCTACCGCAATGAGGTAATGACGTCAATATACCCTGTCTCCAGCACACATACACACGTGCACGCATACATTACACACATGGAGGCACGTCATTAAATGACCTTAGCAACCGAACCTCCTGTCAGTCATCTTCACATTTTCTTTCCGTCGGGTGTACATGTAGGTCGAGTAGGCACGGAATAAAGAATTGTCGCGTTGATGTGTTATGAATATAATATAACAATATGACATTAAGTAGCAATCAGCAAACTCCAGACACAAAATGGTGGCGGGGTCATTTGCTTTTATAGCGAAGCAATTTTACAGAAAAACATCGTTACACTGCCATAAGTTGTCTAACGAAGTAAATATATAGCGTCATATTGAGATAATAGTTTCGAATAAAAGATAAAGGGAGACTTGAAATACGTAGGCGATATTGCGAGGGCGCAAGTGAAACAAAAGATATGATATCGAAGTTTAAGTGGATGAATAAAACGGCTTAAAATAAACAAAAGAAAAAACAAGCAAATTCGTGGAATTTATATCCCACGCTTGCAGGACATCTTGTAGGGGAACATTATTGAGGTTTGGTTTAAACATGTGAGTATCGTGCTGTAATGTATAGCTTGAAACTCGAAGAAAAAAAGGCCTTATACTGAAGTTAGACTTTTTATTCAACATGTAGAAACGGCAGATAATGACGTTTTTAGTTATTCAAGGGGCCATAATCCGCCAAATGGGGTCCGCTGAAAATGGTCATCGAACTAGGCCTAGCCCTGAAGGCATTTAACCCTGTGACCAAGTTTGAAGAAAATCGGTTAACATTTATTGTAGTTATTGCACGGAAACGAAACGCAGCAGATAATGACGTTTTTCGTTATTCATGGGACCATCACTCCGCCAAATAGGGTCCGCTGAAAGTAGTCATCAAACTTGGCCCTTAAGGCATTTAACCCTGTGATTAAGCTTGAAGAAAATCGGTCAACATTTGTTTTAGTTATTGTTAGTAGACAGACAGACAGACAGACAGACAGACTTTCGTTCAAAGCGCGGGATAAAAATTATTCTGTTTATGATCATGATCTTAATGACAAATAGCAATATATTTTCATTGGTGTTTTTATAAAGATTAATATTAACAAAATATTTATGTCCTGGGATTCAAAATGAAGCTGTCAGATATTATAAGAATACAACATACTCGTATTCAAAAAAGAAAAAAAATGAGTTTGTACATTTGATTTAATGCAACATAACGTTATGAAGATTGGTAAACGAGATTATGCTATTTACACAAACCATATATTTTTAAGATAATATGATTATATTTTCAAATAACACTTAACTGTCTTGTGTTGTCTTTATTGAACCTATTGACAAAATTAAATTATCAATTCTTTAATGTTTGCAACAAATAAAAGTGACTGATTGACTATAGCTAAGAAAGCAATATTTTTCGCATAAAGGTAGTTAATAAAATGAACAAATGAATATCACATAAATGACAGATGGTTTTTTTTAAGGTGTTAGATAAATTGAAAACACTCCGTAACAAGGATTTGAAATAAAAATTTGCTTTCTGCAATGTACTAAACACAGTTACACTGCAACTTATACTGGAAATAACATCAATATTGCGATAGTTTAAATAACTATTTAAAGATGTACTGTTGTTATATTTGATTTGCCTTCTTACCGATCCCTCGAACTCCCTCCAGCTGATGGTTCCGCCGAGGTACTTTGTCTGCGTCGGCAGAACAAAGATGACGAAGACTGAACAAACCGCGAGCACGTGCATCATACCTCAGCCGCTTTTAACATTTCATCCAGTTATCAACAGCTAAAAAGTTACATGACGCCAGCAAATATCATATTAAATACCCCCGTAAAAAAGCATATCTCACTTCTTGGGTTAATCCGACAATATTGACTGGACAGTTCGACTGAGCATGCGCAGTTCGATATCGATTGGTCAGACAGTTGATTTATATTGGTTATGATAAAGACGAAGGACATTTCTATTATGTGCAAAATTTCACATTTCATTACCGAACGACACTTGCTTTGACAGAAGTATATAAGACACGTGGCGAAAATCCCCCATTTTGTAGATATCTGCTTGTCTCTTATCTACGATAAACAACGAAGTTCTGACCACCCGATCCCTTGATGTAGATAGCCGACACTTAATACTGACCACGTGTAGAGTAAAACTTACCAACACTAGTATTCAATGTCGCCGTCATAACGTTTAATAACGATGGAAATACTGTCACTTATCAACCTATCACTCATAAAATTGGGCCAAATAGTTATGACATTACAGCCACATTAAGTATGTTTAGTTAAACCTATTTTATTCAGAAATATTAAAAACTGAAAAAAACATCTTAAAATGTAGAATTAGACATCAAACTCCACAACTTATAAAATCTACGCCTCATTTTAAGAACTATATATAAATACAAAATGCTACTTGGCTAAATGAATTCAAAATAATAATATCTACATTTTTCATTTTAAAGGAACAATTAAAGCAAATGGAAAAGGCATATAGTATATATTGAGATAGTAAGTACGAAAAGGGAAAAAGGAGAAATTTACGAGAGAACTGTGACAAAACGATGTCGGGTTCCACATCGCTTATCTATTACCTACAGGTAGAAATATATGATACCTACATGTAGAAATATATATACATATAGAAATATCTATTACCTACATGTAGAAATATCTATTACCTACATGTATATATATATTACCTACATGTATATATATATTACCTACATGTAGATAGCTATTACCTACATGTAGATATATAACCTACATGTAGATATATATTACTTAAATGTAGATATATATATAACCTACATGTAGATATATATAACCTACATGTAGATATATATAACCTACATGTAGATATATATA